AGGCATTCCTAGGGTAGTCCTCTAGGTGTCCTACCATTATCCTCCAAAAACTTTACTGATTTGTTTCAGCCATTTACATCTGCTGCTCTCTTTCTTCTTCTTCTTCAACTTCTTCTTCCTCTACTTTGGGGTCTTCTTCTCCTCATCTCCTTGTGGTCTTCATACACAAGCATTTCCAAGTAAGTTGGAGTGTCATGATGCAAATGCCAATCTGACCATCCTGGGTTATGCCTTTGCTGTGTTACAATGGTATCAAGAGGGGACTTTACATCTTCCGTAACAAATTTGGGGACAGCGGTTCAATTCTTGCATCCAGCATGTCTCAAATTGGCGATGTCATGGTGTAGTGGATAAATAAGCGCACTGGCGTGAGGTGGGATGGCTCCTGTGTTCGAAATAATGGCCAAGGGGCATGATGAGGCAGAATGAAAAACTGTTTTTCCCCTGACCCACCATCATGGTCATGTCTGCATGTGAACTAGGCATTCCTAGGGTAGTCCTCTAGGTGTCCTACCATTATCCTCCAAAAACTTTACTGATTTGTTTCAGCCATTTACATCTGCTGCTCTCTTTCTTCTTCTTCTTCTTCAACTTCATCTTCTTCTACTTTGGGGTCTTCTTCTCCTCATCTCCTTGTGGACTTCATACACAAGCAATTCCAAGTAAGTGGGAGGGTGGATGACCATCAGACTATAACTACTACTTAGGCTGTATGGATATCTGAGGAAGCTAGACAGGGTTTAGGTCATGGGACTATCATTATATTAGTTGATATGGTGGATTGAAGGTGCTTTATGGGTTGGGGTTTAAACTTAGGGTTTAGGTTTTGGGTTTTCTTCTTCTTGTCAGCCAACTTAGAAAACCTGTACAACCTGTACTGCTTTGTTTCAGACATTTATACCTGAATACCTTTGTGCTTTTCTACATATTTATCACATTGTTTACTACTAAGGCTGTAATTTCCATCTCCCTTCTCTTCATCTCCTGTTAGGTCTTCATACACAAGCATTTCCAAGTAAGTAGGAGGGATCATGCAGGATACTGTGTGTCCTTTTCAAGCAGTTCTAAAAGGGTTATGCAAGATCAAGAAATGATTTAAGGGAGATCCTATTTACCTTGGGCATGTTTTGGTAGACATGCTTGTGTTGTGTAAATGATGGTTTTACTTCTTTGGACTATAACTACTACTTAGGCTGTATGGATATCAGTGGAAGCTAGACAGGGTTTAGGTCTTGGGACTATCATTATATTAGTTGATATTGTGGATTGAAGGTGCTTCATGGGTTGGGGCATGTCTAAGTGGGGTCCAAAAGGACATTTTCTTCTTTTGTCAGCCAACTTAGAATACTGTACTGTTTTGTTTCTGACATTTATACTTGAATACCTTTCTTCTTCTCTATATATTTATTACATAGTTACTACTAAGGCTGTAATTTCCAACTTTCTATATGCACAGGTCTTCAATAGAGTTCTTAGTTTTTAATATCTGCTGCATTTTCTTCTTCTTCTTCTACTTCGGGGTCCTCTTCTCTTCATCTCCTTGTGGTCTTCATACACAAGTATTTTCAAGTAAGTATGAGGGATCATGCAGGATACTGTGTGTCCTGTTCAAGCAGTTCTAAAAGGGGTATGCAAGATCAAGAAATGATTTAAGGGAGATCCTATTTACCTTGGGCATGTTTTGGTAGACATGCTTGTGTTGTGTAAATGATGGTTTGGACTACTTTGGACCATAACTACTGTTCTTTGTATGCAGATGAGTAACCTCTACATTCCCAAGAATGGCCTTACGGTCATTCCTGTATTTGCGTATGGAAACTGCATTCCTGAGGCATTTGTTGCTGAAGCATCGCCAGAACACCGTGTGGAGATTGCCAGAACTGTGAGAAGCTGGGTGGCCAAGGTCGTGGGTCACCCAAATATTTTCCAAACCCTGGATGAGCACTATGGCTTCCGTAATGCCCATCCAGGGTACTTCCAGAATAATTTTAGCAGGTAATTAACAAACCAATTTATACTGTAAACCCTAAGTTTACAACCTTAGGACCTGTTGAAATTTATATCATTATTGCTAAATTAGAAGTAATATGTAGATGTAAGTTGTGATTAGCTTGTGCCTATCTCTAATATTAAGTACACTGTATGTTCATGACATGCAGGACAATTGTTCAACAATTCATAGCCAAGGAGGGAACCTATTTCTCCTTCATCGAGATGATCATCATGGCTGAGCTATATGATACAGTGGTTGTGGTCCTGACAGAGGCCAGTGATGATGAGGACTGCTACACCATCTATGCATCCTTGACCCCAAACCGGCCACGGTTTGTGACTTTCATACTGTTCCATGATCACAGTTGTTCAGATAACATGCATGTGGGACATGCAGAAGGGATCAGGTCTGCTAACATCAACCTGCCTGTATACACTGACTGGGTAAACACATTCCCTGTGTTTGACAAGGCTGGAGAACAGTGCCAGCCTGGTGTACCATACCGTGGCTGGCCAACAGGGGCTCAGTTAGCAATGGAGGACATCAAGCGGCAAATGGGTAAGGCTAACATTAATGTGATTGTTTTTTCAAGGAATGGATATCTAACCTATCCATCCTGTATATTTCTATTTGCAGGCAAGGAGCATGTAAAGGAGGTCCAGCACTGCATGGTCCAACGCAACTATGGATATTACCACCCTCCCTATGGCATAAACATGCCGGTTACCGACCGNTTGGGGCCCATTAACCCAACCGGCCGGTTGAATGGCGTTAACGGCCCGGTTGGGTTAACGGTCGGTTGGGTTAACGATCAGCTGGTTTAACGGTCGGTTGGGTTAATGGGCCCCAAACGGTCGGTAACCGGCATGTTTATGCCATAGGGAGGGTGGTAATATCCATAGTTGCGTTGGACCATGCAGTGCTGGACCTCCTTTACATGCTCCTTGCCTGCAAATAGAAATATACAGGATGGATAGGTTAGATATCCATTCCTTGAAAAAACAATCACATTAATGTTA